ATATACCTAACTTAGGTTCTCCCTTTCTTTTATGTTATATTATTTTTATTTTGTATTATTTTGAGCATTGCTTTATTTTTTCTCTTTTATGTTAAGATATTTTAGATTAATTTTTTTATCTATAATGATTTTAAAAAAATCATTTTTAAAAGAAATTCCTTTGTATAATTTGTTTGGATTCTAAGAAAATTAAGTAAAAGTTCTTGAAAATTTAATATTTTGAATTTCTTTTTAAAATTTGGCTATTCCTATTAGTTCTATTATAGTTTAAATTATACATATATTTTTTTATATTTTTATACTTTTTAAAAAATTTTGTTATGATATTTATTTATATACTAAATTCTCTTTATACTTTATAAGGACATAAAAGAGCAAGTTAGATGATAAATTAGAGAAAAGTGATAATTTATCACCTATCTTATCATATGTATCAAGAATGCATTTTATTTTTTTTATATGAAGTGAATTGATTTATTTCATTTTTACTGATATGATTTTTTTTTTTTGTTTGTCATTGATATTATGTTTGTTGCTTTGATGTTATCGCTTTCATGATTTAAGGTGAAGTACAACTAATTACTATCCAAATAAATGAAACTCACTAGAAGTAGCTTTTTAGTTTCAATTTTTTGATATATATATATATATATATATAACGAGATAAGTGTGACAAAATTTAGGGAAAATGATTTTTTTTTTTACCAAATAATTCAAAAACATTGATTCAATGTAATTTTTTATTCAACATTTTATTATACTGTTAATTTTTTTACAAAAATTTTATAAAATATTTAGATTAAGTTGAGTTTCTTATAATTAAAAAAATATATATAGTATCATTTAAATTTAAGAAGAGTTATATTCAGATATGAAATTTTGTTACCTTTAATATATTGGAATATATGATTGACAAAGAAAACAAAGAAAAGTTAAGTATGCATAATAAATTATTAAGTCTATATATATTAAGGCTAATAGGTTTAAATTTTTTTTATGAAAATATTAACAACATATTTTAACGTTAAATAATAATTTATGCAAAATTATAAATATAACATTTTTCCAAATAAAATAGGCTGTTATTTTTTTGATAAATAATACTCTAATTTTTAAAAGTAGTATTTATAATAAAAATTATCTAATTTTGTAATTAATCTATCTTTTTTACATGTAACAATCTAATTTAGTATCACATGTCTTTTTATTAGTATTTTTTATTTGATTTAATGCATATTTTATTTTGAAAATAATTTTGATTGAATTAATTACATTTATTTTTTTTAATTATCCATTGAATAACATTTTTCTATTTTTATCCAAATTGATTTACTTTATAACATTTGACTTTTAATTATACGGTTTGGATTTGGTAAAAATTTTTAATTATTAGCACAGAATAATATATAAATGAAAATTCAATTACAAATTCAAATAAGAAATTTTGCTACTCGTATATTTAAATCGTTGTATGTATAATGATCTCTCATTTAATTTTATTTTTATTATTTTTTATTTTAGAGGTGTTTATAAATTAAATGCGCATTGCTACTAATTGGAATTTTTTTGGTTCAAATTTTTTTGATATAATTACTCTTATCTATTATTATTAATAATCAATCATTATTATTTAAAATTTTTATTTTTTATTTAAATAATTATTATAAATTAAAATTATCACTTGTGCATAATTCGGGCTTAAATCTAGTTTATGATAATATCAATTATTTACAGAGTTGGAAAATAAGAGCCATGAACGAATGAGATTATACAAATTGCAAGATTTGATGACTTTGTCAAATCAATTAATAATGTCCATTATTTATAGAGTTCGAATGGCGAGAGCATAGAGTTTGAAAGGTAAGAGCAAGCAAGAACCATGGATGGACGAGATTATGCCAAATTGCAGAATTTGATGACTTGCAAAAATGGTGAGGCTTTAATGAACCTATCTCAAGCCTTAAGGATTCGGTTCAATAAGGTTTGGTTGGGCTACTTAGCATGACTTATTAGAAAAGGCTCAAAATAAGAGTTGGTTGGACTCCATGACTTATAAGGACTTGTCTTCATGGGCTCTTTTCGAGTTCAGTAAGAATGGGAATAAATGATGGAAAAAAACCATCTTCGCCGTTTCCCTAATTATTACGTGCTGATTAAATTATAATTAAATCAATAAATTAACATAATTATTAATGATATTTATAAATGCCAATTGTATAAAATTCGTTTAAAATTTTAAAATATTCAATCGTAGTATATAAAATAATAAAATTTAATAATATTTTATTTATTAACAATAGTTATGTGACATTTATAATTGAAAGGGTAACTAACCTACAAAATGAAATTGATCCCTTCCATTTAAATTATATTATAATTTCTTTAAAGGTAAAGAGTAGAAATATATTGATTTGTTATAAATACCTTCAAACAATTTGTTTTCATACAAAAAAAATTCAAACTTAGTCTAATGATCGTTACATATGTTTGGTAGATAAAATTATTATAAAATAAAATAAAATGATATTATGAATAAAATGATATTAAATAATGTTATCATATTTTATATTTGATATATATAAAAATTAAGATAAGATAATTTATTTAGTAATTAAAATTATCTTTCTTAAAGTTTATTCAATTTAAATTATTGATATAATTTTTAATGATATAATAACATATGTAAATTTAATCTTATAGATTAAAAAAATTTTCTTCACTTTGAGAGGATTGAATTATCTTATATCAAAAGAAAATAATTGTATATGTTTCATTAATATTCTTATTGTGGCATTTAAATTACTAAGTGATCAAGGGTTATGAATTAGAGCATTCTTTATTTATGTCTTTCTCTTATTTATAAATTTTCTAGTGTTTAAGTTTTTTTTTTTTTTTGAATAGTTCTATTGTTTAAGTTTTGTTTAAACAAAGGTTGAATTAGGGTTAAATACATGTTATTAAGGATTTCAAATCAACATTTGACTTTTTCATATGTTGTTTCCTAGATTGATTGTCGGGTTTTTATAATTCCTTGACCAAATGCTAGAAATTGAAATTCTTTTTTCAAGTTTACTCTTTCTTTAATAATTGTGAGTAATAAATGGTCAAAAGGGGAATTGAGGTCTTATAATGCCCTATCTTAGCAATTAAGAGAGATTTCGTAAAGAAAGATTGATTGGAGTTTAAAAAAGAAAGCTTTATGATCCTTATTTAATATTGAGAACTTAACAAAAAGTATGACACATGGTTATTTGAATACATTGATTATGTAACTTAATCCTTTTTGAATGAAAAAGCTTACTAAGTTATTTAAAACTTGGACAATAGTTATTAGGTTTTTAATATTTTTGGCATTAATATATAGATTCTTTGGTATGAAACATCGTAATGCTTAGAGCTGAATTGATTTGAACAAACACTTTAAATCTTTTTTGTTTTTCAACACAACATTTTATTTAGCTTTATGTTATGTTTTTCAGTTAAATTTCATTGATAAGTTAATGTCTGAATCAATTTTGATTATTAATTTTTTTTAACATACCAGGCCGAGATTGATTTAATGCTTTAACTATAGGTTTTGTTTTGATTTCTTCTAATCAATGTTGGTGCTTTTTTGTAATAATAAGTTTATTGTTTCATGGTTTTTATTATTTAAAGTTTGTTGCTCTTCTTTCTTTTGTATGTTGCATTTCTAATTACTTTTGTCGGATTTAATTGATCAACTATAAAGAAAGGCAAAATCACTTATTATGGCTAGCATAATTTATTGTTAGTGTTTTCTTTGTTGTGTACTTGAATGATCATTTGTACATTTTAATTTGTTGATTTCAAAAATGACAGCGTTTTTGCCAAAGGGTAAGCTCATTTTCTTTTAATTTAAACTTTTATGCTTATTTTCTTTTTGAGTATCTTTATTTATTTTTTTATTTTTGTAGATTTACTATTGGTCGATGCATTTTAAGTTTTTTTTTTGTTTAATTAATGAGTTCATTTTTAAATTTTTATCTTTTAAATTATGAAATTACTATACCAATGACTTTTATTGGTACATATGCATAGTTGTAGCCTTGATATCAAAATTAAAATGAATTTAGCTTAGACTTCATCTTTACTTAATTTAATTGAAGATAGATTAAATTATGAACAAAGCAATGTGATTTATTCTTAATAGGTTTTATCTATCGTTTTATTCTTAATAGGTTTTATTTTTTTTTTTATTTCATAGGCTGAAGTTACTAAATAAAGTGAAAAAAATACTTGCATATGATTTTTTTTTTATGATATAAGACTTGATTTTAAAAAAAATTTTCTTACCTTTATTTTCTTTCATAGTATTTTTACTATTATGTTTGATAAGATTTTATTTGATGATATAATTTATCTTGCAAGTTATTTAGTTATTATCTTAAGCTGCCTACTCGCATGTTCTAGAAAACTTTCAAATGAAGAGTACAAAGAAAATTATTATTTTATAAAAATCCTTTTGAGCCAAATTTTTTTTATTTAAATTTAAAATAATGAAAAAAAAAAGAGAAAATGGCACCACAGCTAAAACGTATCAAACAATTCCATTTTTCTAAATTCCCATTATTTCCTTGCCATATTCTCCTTTTGCCAGTAAATTATTTCCTTTTTAATTTTTTGGTAAGAAACTGTTTTCTAAGAATTATTATTTATCCTCAAATTATGTAACAAAATCCCCTTTCAAAATGTAATGAATTTTAAAATATTTTAAAAGTTTTTTTTTTAGCATAAATATGAGTTTGTTTTATACATGTATAAATTTTTAGAGATTAAGAAATTAATATATATTTTAATTAATTTTTTATTTTTAATATATTTTTAAAAATATCATACTTGTAGTAAAGCTCAAAAATTTTGATGATAGAAATAAATTTTTTTTATATATTATCCGCACAAATAACAATAAATAATAAATAAACAGTAAATAATGTAATGATAATTTTTTTACTATGCTAAAACCTAAACGGTGAAAAGAGTGAAAAATGTTTTTTTCTTGCAATCGAAGCCGTCTTTTTTCTTCAACTTCAATAAAAACTCATCTTTGATTCTCCGTTTCATTTCTTCAACTCATCCGCCACCCAAGAAAAGACCCTGTTTTCCGTTTCCAAAAAATATCGCTATGGGTAGTGAAAGTACTTTAGCTATCGTTCCAGGAACAACTACGGCGGCGCCGGCGGTGAAGACTGGAGGTTCAGCGACGTCTTTAGCACCTGGATTTCGATTCCATCCAACAGACGAAGAGTTGGTTAGCTATTATTTGAAAAGAAAGGTTTCCAACAAGCCTGTTAGGTTTAATGCTATTGCCGAAGTGGATATGTACAAGCATGAACAATGGGACCTTTCAGGTTGAATTTTTTTGGATTTTTTAATTTGCATTTTGCATTTCTATATATTTTTCTGTGTTATAGATAAGTTAGATGAAATCTGCTGAAATTTAAGAGGTTTTCTTCACTTCTATTTTCTGTTTTGGTAAATCTGCTGAATTGTTTACAGAGTTGGAAAGTAAGAGCCATGAACGAATGAGATTATACCAATTTGCAGGATTTGATGACTTTGTCCAATCAATTAATAATGTCCATTATTTATAGAGTTGATTATACCAAATTGCAGGATTTGATGACTTTGTCAAATCAATTAATAATGTCCATTATTTATAGAGTTCGAATGGCGAAAGCATAGAGTTTGAAAGGTAAGAGCAAGCAAGAACCATGGATGGATGAGATAATGCCAAATTGCAACCATGGATGGATGAGATAATGCCAAATTGAAAGGTAAGAGCAAGCAAGAACCATGGATGGATGAGATAATGCCAAATTGCAACCATGGATGGATGAGATAATGCCAAATTGCAGAATTTGATGACTTTCAAAAATGATGAGGCTTTAATGAACCTATCTCAAGCCTTAAGGATTCGGTTCAATAAGGTTTGGTTGGGCTATTTAGCATGACTTATTAGGAAAGGCTCAAAATAAGAGTTGGTTGGACTCCATGACTTAACTTGTCTTCATGGGTTCTTTTCGAGTTCAGTAAGAATGGGAATAAATGATGAAAAAAAACCATCTTCGCCGTTTCTCTAATTATTACGTACTCATTAAGTTATAATTAAATCAATAAATTAACATAATTATTAATGATATTTATAAATGTCAATTGTATAAAATTCGTTTAAAATTTTAAAATCTTCAATCTTAGTATATAAAATAATAAAATTTAATAAAATTTAATTTATTAGCAATAGTTATGTGACATTTATAATTGAAAGGGTAACTAACCTACAAAATGAAATTGATCCCTTCCATTTAAATTATATTATAATTTATTTAAATTTAAAGAGTAGAAATATATTGATTTGTTATAAATACCTTCAAACAATTTGTTTTCATACGAAAAAAATTCCAAACTTAGTCTAATGATCGTTACATATGTTTGGTAGATAAAATTATTATAAAATAAGATAAAATGATATTATGAATAAAATTATATTAAATAATATTATCATATCTTATATTTGATATATGTAAAAATTAAGATAAGATCATTTATTTAGTAATTAAAATTATCCTTCTTAAAGTTTATTCAATTTAAATTATTGATATAATTTTTAATGATATAATAACACATGTAAATTTAATCTTATGGATTAAAAAATTTTTTTTTTACTTTGAGAAGATTGAATTAACTTATATCAAAAGAGAATAATTATTCTTATAATTTTATCCCTTTCAATTGATACAAACTAAATATAATATAAAATGATTATTATACTATTTTATTTATTATCTTATATATCAAATATAACCTAAAAGTACCAAAAAAAAAAAAAAACACAATTTTAGGGATTCATATTTCAAATCCCTCTCTTTGGGTGCTGACCACGAACCAATTTCCAGTTTTCTGCGTATCGAGAGGTTTTTTTTCCCTGATTGCTCAAACCAGAAAAAAGAAAACAAGAAGATAACAAGTAAAAAAGAGAAGAGAAAAACAGTACATGCTCAGAAAAATGTGATCTCTTCTCTTCAAATTACATCGAGTTTATTGAAATTACAAGAACAGGTACTTCACATCTAGGAAAAGACTTGACATTGATTTTGTAAATTTATGATCACAAGAAGAGGTAAAACAATCTTGTAATGAGCAACAGATTTATCCAGGAAAATGTTGGTATAGGAAAAAAACAAATAAAATCAAGACTGCAAAACTTGCCCAGTTTACAAGAGATGGAACAACTACCATTCAACAAAAAGACTTAAAATTAAGTAATAAATTGCCCACGCAACCTAGCTAGAAAGAACAATTTCATAGACTACAATCTTGTAACCAGTTCAGAATCTATCACCTGAAGAAAATTCTGATGGTCCAAACTCAAAAGCCCACAAACACTTAATAAGAAAAGTAGCCTAAAATATGTAAATGCGTGCGCACAATCTAAATGTTATTCAAGTAGATTGCACTCTGATATCTGCTGGGTTGGATCATACCTAGTCGTTGCTTCGGAGATACTAGAGCATCTATGGTATGAACCTTTTTTTAAAATAGTTTGTAATGTCTACGTGCCTCCAGCTATCCACCGCCAAACACCACCTGAACCTTGCCTCTGGGCAGCTGCAAGCTCCATCTCCTGCTCCAGTGCTGACTTTTGTCTCCTAAGTATTTGCACTTCTTTTTCTATGGACGGTAATGATTCCAACATCTTCTGTAGTTCTGCAATTTGAGCCTGGATATATAGCCATGTGTTAGATCTTGAGTCTGTAAAGTTAAAAAAGGAATAATCAAAAAGCTAGAAAGAAGTAAAAAGATATGAAAATCGGCAAACCTCAAGTTTAAAGCATCTTGATCTCTCAGATATCAGCTGACCTTGGACAGATTGAAGTTCCTGCCAGAGAGAAACAAATTAAATATAACAAAAACTTTAAATTAATTGGTGACAATCACCTTTATGAGTCACTTCAAGAGCACACCTTGGATAATTCAGTATGATTACTATTTAATTCATCAATCTTCTCCCTCAGCCTAGAGTTTTCTGCCCTGACTTCCTCAATTGACACCTCCAAGGCCTTTTTCTCCTATTTAATTGCATCAATTTCAATATTGAAATCCATTTTAGGACCATTATTTTGAACTCCATTCAAGTTTAGATCTATTATTTGTGGGAAATTCAATTTTTCAGACTTTGCCAAGGCATATGCAGCAGTAACAGAAGCTGCTGCAGCAGCTGCTGCTGGGGACTGGAATATCTTGGGATGAGATGAGTCTCTTTGTTTGAGTTTCATAACAAAAACCTATTAACAGACAACCACTAAGCTATCAGCGAAAAGGTAAAATGAGGCATAATGGCATAGATTCAGCATTAGTATCTCACAGAAATGATTTCGTGTGGACTGTTGTTAAACAACATACCTCGTTACTATATTTCCCATTGTATCCACCAAAGGCAACCAAATGCTTCTCCCCATCAATTACAGCTGAGCAAACACTTAGTCCCTGCATTTTAAATGACAATTAGATTAGATCTCATATGGTAAAGGTCTAAAAAGTTTCCTACAGAAATTCAGTCATACAATAAGCTAAATCATTTACATAAGACATTGAAAAATAAGACAAAATATTGGATAAATAGCAAACATATGCTTCTTTGACAATGCTAATGAAAATGATAACTTATATGATATTTAAGTCTGATAGAGCTTCTTGAAAAACGTGCCTGTTGATGGTATCATGAAGCTGAAATTAGAAACAAAATGAAATAGGCAAGATAAAAACTACAAAATTTACTTTTCAGGAGCATTGAATGCCAACAGTGAAAATACCACATGTATATATAAATTCAACTTTCCTCAGCTTTCAGACAGTGGTATGGACTATCACCAAAAGTCATTTTAAAAGAAAAAACTCAATCTGCAGCCAAATTCCAAAAATTTTGTCCAAGTAGAAGCTTATAAATCACACACATACTGTTAATTAAAGGCATAGAGTAGTAACCTCACTAGCGAGTGGATGCCTCTCCTTCAAAGTTGTCAAAGTGGACCAAACTAACTTAGACATATTTAATGCAAGAGTCTCCAAGCAGCCTGTAAAGACAAAAGTGAATTAGTACAAGAAATCTCAACATAAATAAGATTACATGAAAGATTACATCATAGATACCATTGCTGTTATCTCCACCACCAACAATATACCACATTTCATCAATGGAAGTACCAGCATGACCTGCCCTAGGAATTACCAAATCACCCCGAATTTGTGGTTGAGACCACTCCATCTGCATGGCAATCCAGGTTAAACTCCAATCAATCAAACTATTCAGACAACTTAAGCAGAACAAGAAGTTAATTATGATAATAGAATAACCATATCTCTAGCTTATTATCATTATGAGGTCTGCTTCAACTGCTGCAGTTCATATTTCTCTAGGATGGAAAGAATGATGAATTCATTGAACTGGTACTAATTGCCAAGGAAGATACGTAACAGTAAGAAGATCTCCAGTTTTTCATTTGAGACGACATAAAAAAAAAAGATACCTTATCAAGGTCAAGATAAAGGTAAAAGTAGTTGTGCAATTTATGTAGACTGTCTAGCCAGTTTAGGGTTAAACCAGTTTTATGGAGAATGTTGGGGATATCTTGGAAGAGTTCTTTGTGCCTTGCAAAATATATTTCTCTCACTTCAACAAGCACAAGTGAGCACACATGAGAATAAGCACTCATCTTTACTCTTTTCAGCTATGCCAAAACAGCACTCAGATGATTGCAGGAGGCCATTCTAGTTACAAACTTGATTGATAAGCATTGCACACACTATTCATCATGGAAAAATGTGACTGCTTACTAAAGAAAGAAGAAATTGACAATTGATGGCATTCAACTCATACCAAAAATAAAAGTATAATGAAATATTAACCCAAAGACAAAAATACAATTCCAACACTTATGGTTTGCAAGTCCAATAGATGAAGATCATTAAAGAATGCTGAATTAGAACAACCACCAAAAATCAAAAGGTAGCGTTCTGCATGCACTGCAGCAGAGTGATCAAATCTTGGAGCTGGGATTGTCTGCCTATCAAAATACAAGAAAGTGATGCAGACGACTACTAAAATTGTCAAGAATAACCAGCATTCAAAATCATAAAAGATGCTTACGTTGCCTCCACCACACTCCAAGTCCTTGTCTCTAGATCAAGAACATGTACATCATTCAGCAATTTCCTGTTCCTGTTTTCTCCACCAAACACTATCAACTTAGTACCTACCAGTGTCACAGAATGACCTCCACGTGCTATCTGGAGCATATAGCACAACAAACCAAATTCCCATAAGTGAAGACTCCTATAATGGGAAAGAATGAATTCTACCCTTCTTAAGGAACATATAACAACTGAAAGTTAAAATTGGAAGGAGGATATAATAAGACAAATGGGCAAAGCTTAGAGAAAAGGGAAATTTTAAAATATTTAAAAAAAGCTGTAAAAAGTGAGTTACCGGAATTTTTCCTGTGGTCTTCACGACACCACAGACATGTGTCTCTAGATTGATAAAACGTACTACAAGAAGTCCATTAACTATTTTTAGATTCCAAACAACGTACAAAACCTCATTCGTCACAAACCATTAAACAGAACACTGGA